GAGTCTCCTTTTCCTATGTTTTCCTCTTTTTCTGCCTCATTTAAGAACTCTAGCCCAAGGGAAAAGGTCGAAACATTGTCTTCGTTTTTGGACTTGTAGGCCGAGTTTCTGTTTGTGTCCATTATTGTTGCAAAATATATTATTTTCCCCATGCTAACAATGGCTGCTTGCGTGAAAAAAAAAAATTTCTGGCAAAGTCGGATTTGCTGACACTATCAGCGCGCACTATTGGGATTTTGAGCACACTTACGTATAATGAATTTGATTGCGCGACTCTTCTTGCTTTGTTGTAATCCATGTTCTCCACCAAAGACCAAATATAATGATAATAATTATAATAATAATGATGATAATGATGATGATGATGATGATGATGATAATTATGGTGATAATAATAAAAATAATAATGAGGTAACAGCTGGAAATATCTTTACAAACAGTGAAAAATCATTCAGGGCCTTCAGAGCTCTTTACTTTATTTCATTCAGTGGTAATAGCAAAGCCTACCAGTCTCCTCTGAGTTTTAATCTACATTTTGCATATGAAAATCCTAGTTTCCTTGCTATATTGTGTGTTTAGCCATAGCATGTGTTCATAATTTGTTTATTCACTTAGAATGAGTGACTGACTTTCCATTCTTCAGGGTTTGTATGAGTATGTTTACCCATCATGGCAAGCCAGACCCAGGCCCAATGTAGATGATTATGATGTCAAAACCTTTGGCTCCTCAGTTCCTGCTAAAGTATTGAATCCAAATTCAAATCCTATAAAACTCCCAGATGCATCATCTGGAAAAGCAAGGATTGCTCTACCACCAAGGTAACCAAAACTTGCTCCAATACTTATAACAACCTTTCAATTTTTGCAACAGATAATAAGATGTGTACAGAGCTTCTCCTGAGTTCTGAAGAGTTGTGTAAAACTTGTTTTACATTGACACAAACTGAAGTTAGGAGACTGAGCTGTAGGGCTCCAAGCTGAACTATTTCCAAAGTTTTTTTGGGGACCATAGATCACCAAAAAAAAAAGCAACAATTATTAAGATGCCTGAAATCGGTGGAAAAAGACATCTTGTGTTATTGGACGTGTTGTTTTCTGCAAGTGACCAATTGCAACAAAAATGGTCACAGCTTTGGAGAATGAAATGTAGGATAACAAGCTAATTTTGGGGAAGTGAAAGGCTTAGTAGCAAAGTGGTTAGTGTAATTACCTCCAAATGGGGAAGTCATGGACTCATTGTAGGCTACCAGTATATCACTGTGTTGTGTTTTTTGGTAAGACACTATGATCTCATAGTGACTTTCCCCACCTAGAAGTATAGATGGGTACTGGGTTACCAGAAGTGAAACTTGACAAAAAAAATGCTGGAAGGGGGGTTACATCTAATGGACTAGCATCCCTTCCTAAAAAATTAGACAAACTCCTTGTCCCTTGGTGCTTTAGGAACCAAGGATAGTCATCAACAGTTACGAGCCACTTGGCTCCAAGATTTACCGGTTACTCTCTCTCTCTGTTTGGAATTTATTCTTGTGCTCTATTGTTTCTTCTTGTCTGATTTTGATACCAAGTTTTCTTATGTTCAGCATTGATCACACGTACAAAGTATACATTGGAGGAGCGCAAAAAAGGCCTGATGGAAACTACTCCCGACCAGTGTTGGACCCTAAAGGACAGGTTATAGGACAGGTTGGCGAAGGGAACAGAAAAGACATCAGAGATGCTGTGGAAGCTGCCCATAAGGCAGCTCCAGGGTATGTTTTTGTGCACTTTTCAATTTCAGTAATTAAGACCTTAACTCTTC